GGTATTACTGCCTGCTGTTGGTATGGTGCGCACAGGTAGAGAAGCAGTAGAAGAAGAAGGCAATGCGCGCCAAAGCAGAAGAAGAAGAAGAAGAAGAAGAAGAAGAAGAAGAAGAAGAAGAAGAAGAAGAAGAACAAGAAGGCGGCAATGCGCGACAATAAACCAGGAAGAAGAAGAAGAAGAAGATGTCAATGCCGGTTCAGGTGTATTTCTAAGTTAACATTTAATGTAATTAAATTAACACTTAATGTCATTTTAACTGTACATTCGCAACCGACTGCAGTTGACAGCAGCATGTAGGTCGTTTACGTTTTGGGAAGATATTGACGTTTAATTTAACGTCAACGTTTTAGACATTTTGCTCTGCAGAAAGAGCATCAATTACTTTTTTTTCAAATAAACTATTTCATCAAACTCAATACCCTGAAAATATCAGTGTGTCAGCTTTTACATGTGTTAGACTATATGAAAGTCAGAGTAATGAGTGAGCAAGGAATGATAACAGAAGCAGTGGGGGAACGGCACATATACTCAGAATATTTGTATTTTCATTTAACTCAACATATCAAGCTTTTTTTCTTTTTTTTTTTCCTTTAGCAAAAATATATTCAAAGAATAGTTTTGGTGATATGTGTGTTGATTAAGTTTGATTGAAGTGTAGTTTACAGTTCCTTTTATTTCTTTTCAGAATAAAATGTATAAAGTGAGGAAGTAGGCCTATGAGTTTTTTTAATCCTATTTTATTCTCCTATAGACCAACATCACAACATTTAGGGAGGGCACATGCCCAAAGCTCTGTAAATTTTTCAGTGCCCGATGTGCCACAAGGCAGGGCCATACCATGCCCTAATTTCCCACTTACAAGGCCACCATAAATCTGTTGTTAAATATGGAGGTAAGTTCAACCACAGATATTGATAAAAAAAATTGTTAATACCAATGCCATTATCAATTCCCGTTATTGATCTGATTTTTTTGTCAATTATGTTATCGATTTATGGTCAGTAGGCTATTCTATGTGGGGAAACTTAGCTGTTCTATTCTTGTCACTGTTAGTCTTTTGGCTTGCTATATACTCGCTATTTTCTTCAATATTGTCTCATCAGTGAGAAACAGAGCTCTGGAGTCCGAGGACTTGTGTACTACTTTATTGACNACTGTTTTAACTTGTGTTTTTAAGCGTTTTAACCAAACGTTTTTAACCACTAAACTTATTTATGGGGCGGGGTACAACAAGGCAAACAAGAAAATGTGGCACCTTTTAAATTTTATTGTTGGAGAAGCAAAGATGGCAATTTACATCTCGAGGAGAAACAAAATACAGGAGCAGTCAAATGTTGATGCAGCCGCAGTGTGGCGCTGTAACCTCCGCTGCAGGCTCAGACTGGAGTTCTCGTTTTACAAAATGATGAAAGACCTTGTTGGCTTTTCTGACATCTGGTGCTACAAGAATATTTTGTGTGCTGTTTTAAATGATGAACTGGTTTTTACTGACATATTAAGAGAGTGATTGATTTATCTATTTATTTATTTATTTATATATGGTACTTTTAGAAATATTGATAAATCTGTTTTCATGTGAAAACCAAGTACATTTTTAACAGTGCACATTGTCCCTGCACACCGAAATAAAGTGTGGTTATAAAAATAAAAAAAAAAATCTTCTTCTTCTTTTTCTTCTTCTAATGCTTTGGCACGCATTGCCATGAAATAAAATGCAATAAAATCCACAATGGCATCCGTTATTTCCGTCTTTCTTTTCTCCGACACTGGTTTTTTGAAATGAAGGGTCTGCTGCGTGTATTTTGGGGTGGGGGTCGAGGCTGAAGACGTTGATGGCAGCGATGCCTGGTGATGCACCTACGGACAAATTATACTATTAGGCAGGAGGCCGAATAGTCGGAGATCAGAATTGGTATTCTGACACCGGCACTCCAAACGAATAGTCGGCTATTCGGCTATTCGGGTTCAACCGGACAGTGAACGTTGCTAAAATTGCGGCGCTCGGTTGTGATTTAGACATACAGCACCACTTTAATTAAATTGCTTTTAGTTACTGGATCCTGAAGAAACGCTCTCTCATCTGGTATGTACAGCAAAATGACAATAAACTTGATTTAATTTGATTTCTTAGCTACGCAATAAACTGTTAATTTGATGTGTTTGTACTATGCTGTGGCAGCACAAATCGCGGCTAGCAAGCGACGTAATTAATAGCTCGAGTAGTGTCCGAAATGATACTTTGCCGAGGTGCTCCCTATATAGTGCGCTATATAGTGATCACTGTATAGGGAGTAGGGAGTTGGGAGTGAGTGGGTGATTTCGGACACAGCCATAGACTGTATAAGGTGGACGTAGCTACCGTGACGTCACCCGATGGTTTCTGCACTGAGAAAATGAAGTCAGAAAATGAAGTAGCAAAGTAGGGTTTTGCTACTTCCTGGTTGACATCTTGGATTTTTGGAGCCAGTGACGCAAAAATCGTCGGAGGGGGGGGCGGAACCATAGGAGCAGCCATTGGTTAGATTGAGAGTCAGGCCCTCTCTGCCCGCCCACATTTACTGCCTTCTGCTCGCTTCATCTGAATCGCTGCCCACTGTCAATCAAGCCAGCCAAGCCCCTTGCCCCTCAAAATTTTGACGATTTAAAAAAAATTCAGTATTGATTTATTTTCAGATTGGCCACCTGATCTCTGAATTTGACTACGAAAACTACTAAGACAAAAATCTTGAGCTGTAGGAATACAGTATTTCGTGATCTGTGATCACTTCTTTTCCAATTCAAGTCTATGGGAGCCAGCAGCTGGCGGACGTAGGTTTTTGACACTTCCGGGTTGGCGTAATTTTTCAGGGCCGGTTGCTATGTCCATCTTTTATACAGTCTATGGGCGCGCATTGCCTTCTTCTTCCTCTTCTTCTTCTTCTTCTTGTACTGCTTCTCTACCTGCGCGCCACCATACCAACAGCAGGCGGGGGCATGGTGTGTAAGGGGCCGGGGGGGCGTGGTGTGTAGGGGGCGTGTTGTGTAGAGGGCGTGGTGTGTAGGGGGCGTGGTTTGCTGCGGCTTCGGGGACAGCACCGGCTGCAGTCAGACCCTTCTTGCATGGTGTGTAAGGGCCCGGGGGCGTGTTGTGTAGGGGGCTTGTTGTGTAGGGGGCGTGGTGTGTAGGGGACATGTTGTGTAGAGGGCGTGGTGTATAGGGTGCGTGGTTTGCTGCGGCTTCGGGGACAGCACGGCTGCAGTCAGGTATTATTGGGCGGGGGCATGGTGTGTAAGGCGCCGGGGGGCGTGTTGTGCAGGGGGCATGGTTTGCTGCGACTTCGGGGACAGCACCGGCTGCAGTCAGGTATTATTGCACTAACCGAGCAATATGGACCGTCATGCATTGCGCAAAAGGAAATGGAAATTGAGATGAAGGAGAGAGCGGAAAAATTCCCGTTTGTTTTGTTAAATTTTGTTTTATCCGGACAGTAGGGCTGGTCCTAATGGCAATTCTCCGGTCTCCGGATATTCGGTCTTCGGATATTCGGTCCAAATTGGCAGCGAATATCCCAACATTCGGTGGGTGGGGGGGGAGGGGAGGGGCTCAGCGTTGGTAGACGTTCGCGATACAGCCAGCCGTGGCGACGGCGGGGCGGTGCGCTGTGCGTCCGCCGGGCATCGGCGACGTGGCGTTGCGCTGTGCGTCCGCTGTGTAGCGGCGACGGCGGGGGGAAAGAAAGAGTGCTGTGCGGGCGGTGATATTATTATATTATTAAAACAAAAACGTAGTGAACAGCAGTGCATATTTATGTACTACAACTGACATTTATAGAGATCTACAGTCTCTTCATATTGTGTGCAAGGAATATGAGTTTGTCCACATTTTCTGGCAGAAGCGAACTCCTGGCTTTGTTCACTATGTAGCCAGCCTTGGATAAAATGCGCTCCGATGGCGTGGACATGGCTGGAACGCACAGGCAGTACTTGGCTGCTATTTCCAGTGTAGGATAGCGGTCACAGTTTTGTTTCCACCATCCAAGAGGGCCACACTGGACTCTAGTAGAGTCCGCTAAGTACAGCTCCATTTCCCGCTTGGCACTTGGAATTTGTTTCTCAGGGAGTTCATCGTCAGAGTCTGACATCATCTGCATGGAAATCTCCTGCTGTTTTTTTTTTTTTTTTTTTTTTTCGCGGCGGCACAGCAGCAGTCTCCTAGGCACGCGTATCTGTCGGCACCATCTCCCCCTCCCGAACCGAGTGCCGCTGGTGCAGATGCTCAGCCAGGCGGACAACCTTTAAATCGTATAACATTTCATTAGTCAAATCTTGAATGGGTCGTGCAAGATAAAACAGTATGGCATATGAATGAATGAATGAATGAATGAATGAATGAATGAATGAATGAATAATTCATGGTAAAAATAATAACATATATTAGTCATACTACAATATATACAAGATCCTTCTTCTCGTTGTTGAGGAATCTCAGCTGTTTGAAGCGATGGTCCAGTGCAGAGGATAGGAGGTAAAGGCTGCTGGGATCCAAATCTGTCAGCTGCCATCTGCTGTCGATCTCCGCTATCAGCGTCTCCTTCATCTCTGCGATGGCAGGGCTGTCGTCCTCCTCAGGTGAGAGGTGGCGTTTCTTCAGGTTGAAGAGCATCGGCACAGTAGCAGACAGCGACAGATTCTCCTCCTGAGACAGCAGTTCTGTCAGTGTTATTAGAGGCCCCACACTGTAAGAAAAAATCCGTAGAATTTACGGTGAAATACTGGTAGCTGTGGTTGCCAGAAATTCCCCGTAAAAATTACGGTGACAATGTAGAGGACTTTACGGTATGCTGTTTTGGGGACTGTAAATTTTGCAGAACAGAACTGTTATTTGTTTACAGTAGTTTGCTGTAAAAATAACAGTTACAACATAAACCTGTTTACGGTAATCTGTCAAAATTACAGTTTATCTCAGTAATAAACACAACAGAAACTGTATAATATATTACGGTACTTTATTGCAGTTAGTTAAAATTTACAGTAAATTACTGGCAGCTGTGGTTGCCAGAATTTCATCGTAAAAAATACAGTACAACATATTAGAAATTACAGTTGGTTTTCCAAATATACGGTAAATTACTGGCAGGTGTGGTTGCCAGTAATGTCATCTTAAAAAATACAGTAAAACACATGAGGAATTACAATTGGCTGGCACAGATTTTCCAGTCAGCAACAGCCTAAAACCCTATAGTGATTAACAAAATAGCAAATAAAGCCCGTTGTGCCAACTATCATTGACAAACCTGAAGAAACTGTTCTTGCATTAACACATTCTCTGAAAAAAGATGGAACTGATCCAACATGTCAAGTATACTCACAAAGCATCATGTGTCCATATAAGGATTAGTCCATGAATGAGCCACTTGACCTGGGTTGATCATGGGTAAAGATTCGCTCAGCATTCACCAGTCACCAGCTCTGATTGTAGAGTCTCATGTTGTCCATCAGGTCTTCACTGTGGTCTTGACATGATCAATTCTGCAGCCAGAAAATAGAAACAAAGCAAGGGTTAGATTGATGCAGTGTTTGAGCATCATGACTACACAGAGAAAAACTCTGCCTTCTGTTTTTTTGACTGAGCTCCAATGAGCTAACCACAGAACCAGCTGTCTGGACTGCTACAACTACTAATGGCAATAATAATAATGATAATAATATTAATAACAGCAACAATAATATAATAACAATATGTCACAAAGTACTTCTCCCAGGCCCAGTTGACCTGTTTAAGTGCTGTCTACCATCACAGTTCAAATGTACTGATGTCTGTTTAGTTCTTGGACTATCCTTGATACATTAATGGTTTAGCTGTAGGCCTTAATGAACATCCTCGAAGACTTGTTCATCTATACTGGCTCTCTCATGTACTTATTTCAATACTGAGCATCATGTCACAAATTGCTAATTTGTTATTGGGATTTTTATAGCTCTTGTATGTCCAACCCACTTAAGTATCTTTTTGACTTGATCATTTTATTCAGACCATGTACATGCCCTGATGTTTAATAAAGGTCGACTCGTGGAGCACATGGCACGTACCTGGGGGAGTCCTTGCGATGGTAACTTGGGTTCAAGCCAGACTTCAGGTCCTTTGCTGCATGTCATCTCCTCTCTCTTCCCTGTCTTTCCTGTCCCGCTTTCTCTGCTGTCTCTGAAAAAAATATTAAAAGAAAAACACTCTTAAAATTAAAAATAAAATAAAATAAAATAAAAGCTTGCTTATGGCATTAACATGGATTAGAATCTCACCATCACAAAGGCCAGCAAGTTGTTCCCTCCAAGTCCGTGACCACTCAGGAATTTGAATGTGATGCTTGAAAGGTGGTATGAGCAAAAGACATCAAGTTTTACAT